CGTGTGTCATCATGATAATATCAATATGTCATCATGATAATATCAATATGTTATTGCTGACACCCCGGAGCTGCTGGTACGAGTGGGTCACGCACGCGCGTACCACCTCTGATGCATCTTCGCTGTCTCTTTACCCCGGGAGCTGTTCCTCGATCCTCGGAGCCTCCGTCTCTGGCATTGCGTGCAGTTGTTTTGCTGGAAGGTTTGCAGTTATTTTGGTTGCCGGACGATGGTTCCTGAGCCGGAGAATGTCGTGTCTACGGCATCTGCAAGGTCACCTTGGTAGCGGGAACCTGGTGGCTATCATGCGACGTGGATTCCTGCTCTCTCTCTCTCTCTCTCTCTCTCTCTCTCTCTCTCTCTCCTCTCTCTCTCTCTTTCTCTCTCTCTTCTCTCTCTCGCTCGTCGCCTCTCTCTCTCCTCCCTCTCTCTCTCTCTCTTCTCTCTCTCTTCTTCCTTTCTCCCTTTTTTCTTCCCTTTCTTTTCTCCCTTTTTCTCTCTCTCTCTTCTCTCTCTCTCTCTCTCTCTCTCTCTCTCTCTCTCTCTCTCTCTCTCTCTCTCTCTCTCTCTCTCTCTCTCTCTCTCTCTCTCTCTCTCTCTCTCTCTGTCTATCTTTCTCTCGCTCTCTCTGTCTCTTTCTCTATCTCTCTCGCTCGCCCTCTTTCTCTTTCTCCCTCTCTCTCTCAGTTCTTCCTTTTATCTCTCTGCATCTATAAACCTAGTTTCCCCGCTTCTTCCAAACACAGCATGGCTTCAGTTCTTGCCCCAGCATCCCGCAGCGTCTGTCAGCCTCACTCGGCAAGCATAAATGATGCTCAGCCTTCCTGCGCCTGCTTTCATCTTTTTTTTGCTGAATCCCTATTAGCACGATGATGCTGCTGATGATGATGATCGTGATGATTAGCATCCTCATCCTCCCTCCGCATTCCTCAGCATCCTTTATCATTCCTCGGCATCTCTTCCTCATCCTCTGTTAGCCACCTTCCGTTCCCATCACAATCCCCTTTACTATGCTTCCCTTTCCGCTAGCGGAATTCGCTCCTGGCTTTTCTTCACAGGCCTTATCCTGACTCCTAACTCTATTTCTCTTCAGTATCCTTGTGTTCGTCTCAACACCTCTCATCTTTCCTTCCCTCGCCTTCTACCTTTGGCGTCCATGCGCATTCCGCATATTTTCTCCCTCGGTCACTAGCATCCCTCAGCATCCTCCAGTAGCCACGTACATCCATCCGCATATTAAAGCATAAGCATCATCGTAAGAATAAGCCTAATATATACATATATATATATAAGCATAAACAAATATAAACATATATATAAGCATCCTCCAGCATCCTTCGGCTTCTCTCAGCATCCCTCAACCTTTCTCAGTCTCCCACAGTATCTCTCAGCCTCTCCCTCATCATCCCTTAGTCTTCCTCAGCCTCCTAGCTTTCCTCAGCCTCTCTCAACCTTCCTCACCCTCTCCATCGTCATCCCTCAGCATCCCTCACCCTCCCACACCGTCTCTCAGCCTCCCCCAGCCTCCTTCATCATCCCTCGGCCTCTCCAAGCATCCTTCAACAACCATTTGCATCCCTCAGCCTCCCTCAGCCGGAGGATGCTTAGGGTGGCTGAGGGAGGCTGAGGGATGCTGAGGGATGCTGGAGGATGCTTAGGGAGGCTGCGAGCTGTCGTGGGATAGCATCCTCCAGCATCCCTCAGCATCCCGCATCTTTGCTCGCGTGCGAAGCCCTTGTATCACGCAGCATCACACAATTGCCGTCGCGTGAGCGAGTCTAGAGATGTAGCTGTTGATTTTTCTCGCCGCTTTTCAGCGCGAGTGCGAGAGAGAAGCAGAGAGAATGGGAGAGTGAGAGAGAGAATATGAAAAAGAGAGAGGGGGAGAGAGAATATGAAAAAGAGAGACAGAGAGAGAGGGGGGAGAGAGAATAAGAAAGAGAGAGAGGGAATAAGAGAGGGACGGAAGGGGAGGACGGGAACCGAAATAAGAAAGAAGAGAGAGAGAAGGGGGAGGGGAGAATGATAAAAAGAGAGAGAGAACGGCTCGGAATGTGTGTGGCTTCCTCGCCGTTCCTCCTCCTCCTCCTACGCTCCGCCTCCCATACTCTCCCTCTCTCCTCTCTCCGCCTCCGCTCATTCTCCCTCCTCGCTCCCTCCGCCTCCCGCTCTTCTCCCCTCCTCAAATAGACCTCCCTCTTCTCCCCTCCTCCTTAATACCACTCTGCCTCTCTCCCGTATCCCTCGTTCCCCTCCTGCTAACCTACATCGCCCACGCTCTCTCCTCCTCCACTCCCTTCTCCTCCTCTTCTTCCCATCCTCCTCTTTTCCCTTCTCGCTCTCCCCCTTCTCCTCCTCCTGCATCCTCAATTCTTCCTCAGGTCGCTCGAATAAACATGCCATTTCCGTGGCAACGAGAGTAAACATCGGTTGGTAGAGAGAGAGGGGGAGGGAGAGAGGGGGAGGAGGGGGAGGAGGGGGAGAGGGGGAGAGACACGGCCCGTCACAGCTAATGCACGTGGACAGTGTTTACACCGGCGCAGTAACCAGGAGAGGGAAGGGAGGGAGGAGAGAGAGGGGAGGGAAGAAGGAAGGAGGAGAGAGAGGGGAGGGAAGAAGGAAGGAGGAGAGGGAAAGGAGGGAGGAGAGAGAGGGGAGGGAAGAAGGAAGGAGGAGAGGGAAGGGAGGGAGGAGAGAGAGGGAGGAAGAAGGAAGGAGGAGCGGGGAGAGAAGGGGAGAGAGAAGAAGAGGAGAGGGAGAGAGAGAGAGACGAGAGAAGAGAGAAGAGAGAGAGAGAAGAGAGAAGAGAGAGAAGAGAGAGAGAGAAGAGAAGAGAGAGAGAGAGATGAGCGAGAGAAGAGAGAGAGAGAGAGAGAGAGAGAGAGAGAGAGAGAGAGAGAAGAGAGAGAGAGAGAGAGATGCAGAGAGGGAGAGAAGATACGGCGGCTGTCTACCGTTAAGGCAAGCGTAACCATGTTTACACCCAATACGTAAACACACAGCAGACGCTGAGAAGGCGAGAGAGACGAGAGACGCGCGCGCCGAGAGAAGAGAAAGAAAGAAAAAATACAGAGAGAGAGAGAGAGACGAAGAGAGACGAGAGAGAGAGAGAGAGACAGAAGAGAGCCACGCGCGCCGCGCGCGCACGGCGCGACTGAGAGAAGAGAGAGAGAGAGAGAGAGAGAGAGAGCGAGAGAGAGAGAGAGAGAGAGAGAGAGCGCGAACGATAACAGAGAGAGAGAGAGAGAGAGAGACGAGAGAGAGAGAGAAGAGAAGCGCGTCGAGAGAGAGAAGAGAGAGGAGAGAGAGAGAGCAGATGAGAGAAGAGAGAGCGTGGCGAGAGAGATGGAGAGAGAGAGAGAGAGACGAAAAAAAAAAGATTCACAGAATGAGAGAAGAGCAGAGAAGAGAGAGCTGCGCGGAGGCAGAGAGAGAGACAGAGAGAGAGAGATTGAACCGAAAAAAGATTACACAGAGAGAGAGAGAGAGAGAGAGAGAGAGATGAGCGAGAGGAGAGATGAGAAGAGAGAGCGGCGCGCGGAGGCGAGAGAGAGAGAAGTAGAGAGAGAAGAGAGAGAAAGAAAGAAAAAGATAATCAGAGAGAGAGAGAACGAGATGAGACAGACGAGAGCGAGAGCGCGCGAGAGAGAGACAGAGAAGAGAGAGAGAGAAGAAAAGAATAAAGATACATGAAGAAGAGAGAGAGAGAGATGAGAGAGAGGAAGAGAGAGAGAGATAAGAGAGCAGCGCGCGCAGGGGGAGCGAGAAGAGAGAGATGAGAGAGAGAGAGAGAGCGAGAGAGAGAGAGAGAGAGAGAAAGAGAGAGAGAGGAGAGAGAGAGAGAGAGGAGAGAGAGAGAGAGACAGAGAGAGAAGGGAGACAGAGAGAGATGAGAGAGAGAGAGAGAGAGAGAGAGACAGAGAGAGAGAGAGAGACACGAGAGCGAGAGAGAGACAGAGAGAGAGAGAAAGAAAGAAGAAAGAAACACAGCTGAGAGAGAGAGATCGAGAGACCCGCGCGCGAGGGAGCGAGTTTGATGTGAGCATATGTCCGAAGATGTGGCTTCAGGATTCACTGTTGGCTTCTGGTTTGATGTCCCGAGATGTGGCTGTCCAGGATTCAACAGATCCGAACGTTTGACCTCTGACCCCCTGCGCTGGCCGCTGCCGCGTGGGCGTTCCGCCGGTCGATCTTCGCTGGAAATTCCGTCTCACCCTTTGACCTCACGAGCTGCTGCGAAGTGGCGCCGACCTGGCGGTTAGACGGCGACGTCGAAGAGTAAGGGAATAACCAGTTGGAGTAAGGAGGAAGCAGAGAGGAAAGAGAGAGTAGAGGGGGAAAGGGGGGCGGTCAGAGGAAGAGCATACAGAGAGGGAGGGATGGGAGGGGGCAGAGATGGAGGAAGAGATACACGAGAGGGCAGGGAGGGGGGGCAAAGGGGGAGAGAGAGAGGAGAGGCACGAGAGAGAAGAGGTGGAAGAAAGGAGAGAGAGAATGAGAGCGCCACGAAGAGAGATGAGAGAGGAGGGAGAGAGGGAGAGTGAGAGAGAGACAGGAAGAAAGGAGAGAGGTGGGAGGGTAGAACTCAATGATCATCTTCTCAGCATGGTATAAATTAATACTCACTCTCGCGCTGCGGGAGGAGGGGGATGAGGAGGGAGGGGAGGGGAGGGGGTCACCATTCATCATGCTATATCAACAATGCGGCCTCCAAGAGAAACCTTCCCCATGCATGCCTGCAGGGGGGGAGGGAGGGGCGGGAGAAGGGGCGGGGAGGGGTGTGGTGGTCAAGAATGAGATGGGAAGGGAGGGGTTGTATCGAAGGGGCGGGGAAGGGTGATGGCATCGCCACCTGGGTTTCTCCGGGCGCACTAACTCATTAATGCGCCGGCAGGTGGCGCTGTCCTCCAAGGTTCGATCAAGGATGGCTTCAAGGTGAATAGTTAGTTAGCGCGGCAGCAGCAGCAGCGTAGCGTACGTTTACGTGGGTGCACTATCCATACTCCACTGTCTATCTCTATCTCTCTGGCTCGCTCGCTCTCTCTCTCTCTCACGCGCGCCCTCTCTCGCTTTCTTTTTCTCTCTCACACGCTCTCGCTTTCACACCTTTCGCGCACTCTCTCCCCCTCTCCCCCTCTCCCCCTNAGAGTTAGAGATAGAGAAGGAGAGAGAGAGAGAGAGAAAGAGAAAGAAGGGATGAGGAAGAGTTGCCTGAATGCACGTTCTGGATGAATCCTGAAGCCATGGTGCTACTACTGCTGCCGCCGCCGCCGCCGCCGCCGCCGCCCCTGCTGCTGCAGCTGACGCTACTACTGCTGCTGCTGCTGCTGCAGCTGTAACATTATACGGTGGTTGACTCAGAGATTGCTTACACTGTCACAACACACACACACACACGCACGCATGCACGCACGCACGCACGCACGCACGCACGCACGCACACACGCATGTACCCAGGCGCGCGATGGTGGTTGATGGCGAGGAGGCGGGGAGGAGGGGAGGAGAGCGTGCTGCTTGGGAAAGCGGCGGACTGCACTGAGTGGATATATTGTGTACGCACGCACGCACGCACGCACGCACGCACTCGGCAGTGGTGGAGGGTAGGGAGAGGGGGACAGGGGGAGCACTGCACTGCGGGGATATAATATTGTGTTGGTTTGTTAGGAGAGTGAAGACGCGCGTGTTGATCTAAGGAGAGCTGCCTGACTGAAAGGACGGAGAGAAGAGAGAGGGGGAGAAGGGCGGATGAGAGAAGGGGAGAGGAAGGGAGGATGAGAGAAAGAGGAGTGGTAGGGAGGATGGGAAACGGGGTGCACGCGCACACGCGCGCGCACGTACGCGCACATACGCGCACACACACGCGCGGACGCACGCACACGTACGCGCACACACACGCGCACACACACGCGCGGACGCACGCACACGTACGCACACACACACGCGCGGACGCACGCACACGTACGCGCACACACACGCGCGGACGCGCACACACGCGCGGACGCACGCACACGTACGCGCACACACACGCGCGGACGCGATGACAATAATCACTTCTCGATTGAATATATGCTAATTTATATCGAATCTCAGAGAGCTGCTCCCCCTCTCCCTCGCACCCTCTCTCTCTCTCTCTC